ACATATATCCATATTATATTTTGATAATTACAAGATATTTTTATTAGCAAACAACATAGACTAGAGATATATATTCTTATTTTGATTTTGTTACGATCGACTTTTATTTTCGTTAATGACTTTTTTTTATCCAAACAATACATAAAAATAAAATGATTTTCATATATACATATATATATATATATATTAATTATACGGGATACAATTATAACAGCCCATTATCAAAGCTCGATCATTTCCATGAAATTAGCCAATCACCCAAAAAGTGAAAGTGATGACCTTGCTGGAATGAGACGAAATAATTAATTTTCGTGGTCCTTCTTCTTTATTATATGCCGAAAACCCAAAAAATAAAAATAAAAAAGATGCTTGACTTGTTAATATTGATGACTCCACTGTTGTGCTGGGCCATCTTCGTTTTCCTTTATATATATAGCAACAGCGAACCAAGTAAACATTAAAACCGTGCAAGTGACCTCTTAATTCGACGCATCAATTCTAATAACTCAAAATTTAATTAGAGGACATATTCTATATTGTTATGTTCAGAGAATCGAGAAAGAAAGCAGGAAATAAATAAACGAAATATGTAGAAATTATATAGAGATGAATATGACGTGGGATCGATAGATCATAGAGCATAATTGGAGGGATGAAATGGGAAAACTAACGATCATTCGGTTCTTAATACAAAGATCTCTTCAATACTACATCCGTTCTTTAATGTAAAAACTAAATAACTAATTTAGAAAGATTAAAAAAATTAATTATTTGTAATAAATGTGTATTGACTTCCTTAAGTTATTTTTATTCAATTTTATAGATTGAAACTACACTTGGGTGAAAATACTTTATAATCAATAAGGACTTTTTTAGAGTACATTAAAAGTTTGAGAGACAAAACGGATTGAAATTTTATATGTAAGACCACCAAGTAGGATTAGAGGTAGTATTTTATAATATACTAATATATTTTGTTTAAAGTATTGATTCTTTTACATATTATCTCTTATTGAGTTATGTTCTAACTAATAATTTCATTAAGGACAATTTTGATTTTTTTTATTAATATATACTCCTCCGGTCCTTAATATGGGATTCAATTATGGAGTTGGTTTTGGTCCTAAATATAAGACTCATTTATCATGTTTATCAATTTTCTCTAAATTACCCCTATGGATACTCCCTCAACCATAATCAAGTAGAAGAGAAAGAGGGGGTATTAAGAAAGATGATTATGATGTTTTAGGAAAAATGGGTCACATTTCTTATGATTAACTAACTTACCTAACTTCTTTAATCTAATCAAATTAGTTAAATGAGTCTTATATTAAGGACCGGAGGAGTAATTAATTTTAACTGGATTTTTAACTTATGCCAAGTAATTAATTGAATCTTATAAAAACATCACATGAAATTATATATAATAATAAACGGACTAGTGATGAGGGAATCGGAAACAGAATATTTGTGAGGCATGATAGATTATACGTTGTCCAATTTAAATGATATCGTGTGCTGGCATGTGCATATATGAATCTGTTGTGGGCATAAATGCAATAGAAAAATAGATGCTTTATTCGAGTGTGGAATTACTATTGGTGCAGCCTTTTCACATGAAGCTGCCAAAAGTCCTTCCATAGCATCCCTTTTTGAGTCGTTCTGGTTCTGCCTCCAATTTGTAGGCCACTGTGGGTGGTACATAGCTAGCCCTATCGTTTCCAAGAATATGCCTTGCCCAGCCAGTTACGTTTAATTTACTGTTTCAAATCTAAAAATTGCCTAAAAGTGATAGATGTTCATTTGAAGAAATGGACGTCAAAAGTCTTTTTTTAAAAATTTTATTGATAAGGAAGATTTGCATTCGAGTATTAATTGTAGAGTGCTAATACTTTTTATATATGCAAATACTTATCTCATCCTATTCATAACTTATTTTTAACATGGTTTTACACATATTAATAAAAATTTTAAACTTCATTAATTCCTATTTAAAATTTAACAACTTTTCAGTTTTATTTTTATTTAATATAAAATATATCTCATGAGAGCAAAGTCAATACAATAGTAAATAAAGAGTAAAATTGTACATTCATATAAATTTTTTTTCTGCCATATAAATATGACCAAAAGTTTTCTTCTCTCTTGTCCTATAAATAAGACCAAAGGAATACATGGGACTTTTCTAGCCAATGAAATTTATAAATATATAAGGACTTTTCATCTATTTTATATAACTATTTGAGCTATTGATGACTATGCAAGTAGTGTAGGATATAGAAAAGGGCCATCATTGCCGGAGAGTGAGGGGCTTGGTTGATACGGGTACTATATGTGATGCTTCAATGAGATGTGAAAGCTGAGGCATATATCCGACCTGTGAGAAGCCCTGGCCCCTCTAAAATCTTCCAAATCTTATGCCTAATCACTTGAGTTATATATATACATATTCTAATATCTTGATGAAAAGTTAATTTAACTGGTTCAACAAAAGCTAATGTGAAAAGATCAAAAGCTAATTCTTTCCCTTTTGTGAAAGTTACCCCAAATTTGTCATCTAGATTCACCTGTCTCTCTTGCTCCTTTACCCCCTCTTAGCCCACTGAAAAAAAAAAAAGACGCACACACACACACACACATTGAAATCACCATGAAAGCTAGCCATATAATCACATGCCACTTCCATCATTCTAAATTTGTTTAAAGCAAAAGTAAAAGATCATGATCTATCAATCAATGAAAAAATGAAAATGAAAAAAGATCTCAGACCTTTGGATCCATCATGAATATATCCCAGTTCCATGCAAAATATATACAAGCCTCTCCTACAATAATAATAGTTCCAGAATAGATCTTCTTTCCCTACTTCACTGTTACGTTTCTGTCTGGAGCACATATTACTATATATTAGTCTCAAGCATGAAGATATAGAACTACTGGCTTTTAAATTTCTTTTCTGAATCAATGGTGTGCAACAAAAAGATAATTAAAACTCATGGAAGGTGTATCGCAGAAACAGTTATAACTTATCTGGTAATGATATATTGGAAGCCAGAGTGTGTGAACATATACGTCGTATTATTATTATTTTTGTGCAATATATATTTTGTATTATTAATTAGAAGAGAAATAAGGAAAAAAAATAAGTAAGATTATGAGGCGTGAAACTATACACAATTAAGTATGTATTATTACTTTATCTTCCTAATACATAAGTTGGAAAATCGAATTTTAGATGATGTCCTCTAATTGATCTCAACTACATGCACATTGTAGTGAATGTCCGTGGAGGTAAGAAATGATCCATTTAATATCTCTCACTTTATAAAAGTAAATATGAGTTGAACGACGTAGTATGGATGCACCCGTAAGATTATCAGGATATCTAGATCTATCATAGCCAGCTTCAGAAGAAATATTATGTGGTTCTGGTTTTTCTTTCTAACTCATACACAAAGGTCTAGATCCTATCCTAGCTAGGGTTTCAGTAATTATATATCTTGTATTCTTTCAATTCGAGCAATAATTATATCATTTTCATAATTAACATACCATGTGGCTTAAATAATGAAATTTGGTCGCTGTCAATCTACAATATTACCTTTAATTAATTTGTTATATTGTTTTGGCCTTGCCCATCGTTATATAATGAAATTTTTACCCTCAGTCAATTTTCGGTGTCGAACCTACAACAACAGCGATGCTGGCATTCATGGCAAGATCAGCTTCGACTTCCTACCGGCCACCACCGTCAACCAAAGAACCCCTCCCTCCGGCAGTGAACGGCGGCTTCCTCCACCGTTCCATGTCGTTTTCAATAAATCTCAGCAGGTTCGGCTTCATGTGCTTCAGCAATATTGTTGGGCGATGGCTTCTTCATCATTTGATGTTCAATGCTTCAGTTTCATTTTTTTTAATAGAATTTGTTTTGCTGTGGCAACAATGGAGAAGATGCAGCACCATAGATTAGGGTTTATTTGTCTTAGGTATTTGTTTTAAGTTAGATCTAGGCAGTAAAAAGTGAACTGGTGAGTTGCTGAGTTACGCTGAGGGCGTAGACTAAATAAAAATTATTAAAAAATTTGACGTACATACTAAATATATTTTTAAAGTTCTATTCTGTTTTAATTTCTATATATTTCGATTCCAATTCTATGTTTTTAAATCTCTTCTATCATACAAACAAAAACGAGGTCTCTCTCTCTCTCTCTCTTTTGTTTCTTTTCTTTATTTATTTTGTCTGTCCTTGGCCATGCACAAGACTGACTTACATGCCCGCCAATACTTTATTTTCACTTTTCTTTTGTCTTCCTTTATTCTGAACTTGAGATTTCTTAGTTTCTTTATAACCATTGTCTGGCTGGGAGTAGGGACGACGAAGACCATGAACCGCTAAAATTTGAAGACGAAATCCACAATAATATTGAGGGTTTTGAATTTTCTTGAGATTGGACAAGCAATTTTGTATTCTTTTCTTGTCTTGACTCTTGAAAGTCATATTCACATGGACCATCCCCTATCCAAAACCTTCATATAATTGAAGGCGTGATGTATGAACCCATATTGCACTGAACCAGGGATACTCATCAAAGCGATGAGCACCGCAACTAGTTTTGCATTAAACATGTTCATGTATGGTTCACATATTTGATATTTCCCTCTTTTTTTCCTTTGTGTTGTGTGTGTCTCATTATGACTTATGACTATATAACTTGAAAAAGTAAATTAACGCGAAGTTATTATTAGGGATATATTAAGAGTGAGGAAAGAAGGAGAAGCCACGGCCAACAAGAAATCTTTGATTCCAATAAGACAAGATTACGGCGGCTATAAGGATTCCCCTAATCTCGCCACTTGTTATTACTCACACAAACCTACAAATTAACTTTGATAGACAAAACCAAAATTAAAGAAGAAAAGGTGGGGGAGGAGAAGGGGGACACAACGATAAAAGTCTAGAAGGAATCAGACAAAACGCCAGACCGTCCATAAAATCAGAGTAATAAAAGGCGTACCATGAAGAGTAAAGATATTATACATATAAATATGGGTTTGTCTAGTCAAATGCATCACATTGTTCATTTTCTTATGTTTATCATACGTACAAAGTCAAAGCCAAGACCCATGCTGCTATCATATGAAAACAACAGAGATGCCAGTTAATTTCTAGCTAGCAGAGAGACACAGTGAGAAAAGCATATATATCCAGAATAAGCCATCATCATGATCATTATCAAAAGCAGAATTTAAAATTGAGGGGGGCTGATCAAAAGAGCCAAGAGAATTCATGGAAAGGCTAGCTGCTGCTATTATTTACACATAATTTGAAGGGACCCAAAGGACAAATTAAAGTTTGGGGGGAAAAAATTTATAATAATAAAGACATTAATTGTTTGATTAAAATTGATGGTCATGTTTTAAAAGAGAGGGTACCAAGATTCGTGGGTCTTCATGCATTGGCGTTGCACTACCATCCGTTCTTCCTTTTGGACTGTGTGTGTGAGAAATAATGTCTCCTTTTTCTTATTCCTTTCCCATTTGGATTTTCTTAATCAGTAGAACAATTAATCCACGATTCCACCATACCTTCACTTCTTGCAGTCACACACTGATCCGTCGTCTTCTCTCCATGAAAATCTGATGAAGCAGCCGATGAGTAGTTCACTTTCCCATTTGTGTCTCGTTCTAAATCTCCCAAGTTGCCACCCGCAGACCTCATAACTCCACGATCACCGCCATTGTTGGTCGCACCCGTTCTCTCGGCCCACTCCGATGATGAAGAAACCATATTCTGATGATGAAGGCCACCTATGTTATGGTTCAATCCGAATTCCTCCAGCACGCCCATTTTGAGATGCGAATTATCGCCAGCACTGGCCGGAATTCCCAGAGGAGATTGAGTTTTAGAGGCCAGACTATTGGAGGAACTTCCAAGGTGGATCGATGGGAAGTTGAGTGACGGGTTGTGTATGTTGACGTTGAGACTAGGCTGCTTGAGAAGGCATAAATCAGAAGAAAGTGACGGGTGGAGAATGGAGTTTGAATTAGTCGAAGAAGAAGCCAATGGGTCCACCACCGTTGATGGAAATGCCGGAATTGACGACAGGAATGGCTGATGATAAGACTGAGGCTTCTGGGCAAAAGGTCGAAGAAGATTATAAGTCGGCGGAGGAGGAGATCTTACGGCGTGAGAACCAAGAAGATCCAAGCGACTTCTTTGGAACGGCGACGAAGAGAAAGGCGGTGCCGGTATACCAGTGAATTCCTGAACCATGGCTCGGAAATTGGTGGTGTCCGTCGTCAGAACCGTCGTGGGTGCACGCCGCGACGCTCTCGATCGCTTCTTTGGGTTCCGTACAACGTTGTTGTTGCCGGACGGATCAATCCCGTCGCCTCCGGACACAGAAACTAATCCTCGCGAGTAACTTTCTGGAACGAGAGGGTGCTGAGTGGTTTGACCACCCAATTGACTGGAGAAAAAAGGCTGGCTGGAGGAAGAAGAAGGATTGAAGCCACCGAGATCGGAGCGATTTGGGTCGGATCTAGCGGTTCTGGACCAAACCATGTCGAAGCTGGAAAGCGACGGTGACGTTTGAATTGGATCCAAGTAATTGGATGAAGGATCGAAGAAAGGCGGTGGGTTTGAGTGTGTAGAACCTGCGTGGATGGGTGGGTTCGGGTGGTTGAAGAAGGTGGAGATGGATTCGGCGCGTGAATCGTACTCGTCATCACCGCCGCTGGAGGATTGCAAACTACCAGTACTGTTCCCGGAATCCATGAGAGATAAAGAGAGAGAGAGCCGAAAGTGGAAAGACGTGAAGGGTAGGGAGATGGGAATAGCACAGAGAGATTTGCTTTCTTAGACATACCCATTTAAGAATGAGGCATGGGCGGAAGAGAAAAAGATACACATGTTTCTGATTCTGCAAGAAGAAATCACCTCTCAGAAAGTACGACCACGTCTTTAATCCTCTGATCTGCGACCCACGACACGACACTTGTTCTCTGACCAGACAAGAACAACATGCGTCTGCAAGCTGGGAACACGGATCATCAATTTAATTACTACTTGCAGTTGCGGAGAGACGCTGTGAATTACATGGGCTTCTGAGAGAGAGAGAGAGAGAGAGAGAGATGGAACGAGAAGGAGGCTCTGTATATTAGGGTTTGTTCGAGTGAGAAAAAAGGAGGAGAGAGGAAGAAAGGGATGGTTCTCTAGCCTTTTTCTTCTTTAAAAGGCTCGACTGCTTCTTCTGCTTATGGTGTCATCCAGAAAGGAAAGATCAGAGTGGGGCAGCCATGGAAGAAAGAGAGAGGCTGGCGATGGTAAGCTCTTAGTGGTCAAAGTATGTGAGAGTTGTGGCTTTGATTCGCAGCGTGTGAAATGGAGAAAAATATAATGCGGTTAAGGAGGAAGGATATAGAATTTGTTTATTTATTTATTTAATAATTAAATATTTCTTTCATGGAAAAATCGTCCTAGATTTTTTGGAAGGAAGCAACCTAATCAGAGTGATGGTTGGTCGAACTACACTACGAGGGAGGGAAACACAAACTAAAGCTGCAGCTTCAGGAGACGACTTGAAAAGTATACACGAAATACGTCAACCCCCCCCCCCCCCGCCTTTTCTTTTTTTGTCTGTGGTATTAAATTAAGAAAATATTTCCAAAATTATCACAAAGTTCTTGGGACACAGTTAATTTGACCCAGTCAAAATCTTAAAATAACGCGTATAAGAAAGAATATCACGATCCGTATCATATAAGGCAGATAATTTCCGTCTATCGATTTCTTGTGTCTGCGTCTCTGTGACACATATCAGCAACGACTTGGATTGTTCAACAACTAGAACTGTAAAAACCAATATATATATATAGAAGTCTCTGATCTTTAATATAAGATCTAATTATTGAGTTGATTTTCGTTCTAAATATAAGATCTATTTCTCATATTTATCATTTTTTTAAATTATTCTTATGAATACTCCTTCAACCATAAACAAGTAGAAGATGAAGAGATATATTAAGGAAGATGATTATAGTGTTTTAGAAAAAACATATCATATTTCTTATAATTAACTAACCTACCTAATTTCTTTAATCTAAATCAAATCAGTTAAATAGGTCTTATTAGGACCAGAGGAGTATATATAAAAAAGAGAAAAACATAAAATTGAACCTAAAAATTAATCTATATACTTTTTTGTTTGGGTGATATATTTTTAATTAGGATCTTCTTGAGACTCAGGCCGTTTAGTTCAAAGGGATATATATAGACCTGGTGGTTTCAGTCGGGTCAATATAATATAGAATGTTAATTCTATTTTCTTTATGTTTTGTAATTGTATACCAATAAAATGGAATTTCTTTTTTAAAAATTTTATGGTGTTATTTAAATTAAAGTACTAAAACTTATTATTAGCACCAACTAGCATTAACTCCGTATATAGGACTCTTTTGGTTTATTTTGGTATATAATATGGATGATAGGGGCTTGCTATATATTTTAGATGTCTGTATGTCCAGGTTGATATAGCTAGTATTTAACCTATATTTTGGCCGAAAGAAGCCTATATTTAAATAGAAAAATTTGTCTAACCCAACCATGTAATTTTATAACCTAACCAATTTAGAACTAGATTAAACTGTACTAGCAACTATTTCTCTACATATATAGTAAGTTGGCAACAACTATTTGATTTCAAATTCAAAAAAAATTAAAAGCGAGCATTTAAACCAACTTTTCATATGAAATAAATTGATTAATAAATTCAATGGCTTTCTTTTGCCAACTATTTTTTTATGGTTTGATTTATTTAAAACGGAGCAATTATATTTATGCTAGTTTTGGTAATTTCTTTTTCTTTTCTTTAATTTGTTCCCACTATTAAAGCCAACAAATGGTTTCAATACCTATTTAATGTGCAGCTTTGATAAATACATGAAAAGCTATCTCATTTATAAAGAATAAAAAATAGTTGTTCCACTACTTTATGTACAAAATTTATTTTGATAGCTGTAAATGGTTAATTGAGTGAATAATTGATTATTTGGAGGAGGAAAATGACAAGTAAATATAGTACGGATTGTTTGAAAAAAAAGAAGAGAAACATTGAAGGTAATAAATATTAGGTTAGGTCAGACACAAATTCTCATTGTGGATCACAAATACCTAACAAAAAATCAATTTAAGAAAAAGGAAAATAAATTAAATCAAAATAGAACCAAATGTTATTATTTTTATTTTAAAAAAATTAATTTTCTTGATGAAAATTAAACCAAACTGAACTTGTGGACACACCCAAATTAGCCACTGCACTCATCTAGGCGAAAAAAAAAAGAACGAGTCAAAAAGACTTAAGCTGCTCTTTGAAAATAAAAGAATAATAAAAAGAAAAAATGCCACCCTTGGGCTTGGGATCGGGATCGTAAAATGACGATAATTTTATAACGTGAGGAAAACAATAAGGTTGCTTTGAAGAACTATGACAAAAAGAACAAGCTCTTTTTTGGCCAGAAAAATAAAGTATTGTGGAATATGTGTTTGTGCGTGGGTGTATAAAAGATTTCTTTATCAATTCTAGTATTCTATGTGCAATAGTAGTGATATACTATTTCCGTTTTGATATATTCCTTTGTACTGTGTTTCCTCAAGCTCAGATCCACACCACAACCAACCAACCAAACATGTACACCATTTCTCACGTATTCTCTCTTTGTTTAAAAAAAAATCTTTTAAAAATAATTAAATTTTATTTTAACAGATCGCCAATAGAATTAAACTAGGTTCATGATTTACCTCTTTTTGTTTGGAGGAGATTGAAAGGGATAGGAAGAGAGAGATTGTAATGAGTTCAATTTTAAGAAAAAATGAATAAGCATGGTTATAAGAATAAAAAAATTAATGGAATTAGAGAAGATATAAGATAAAAAAATAAAAAATTTTAATTAAAAAAATCTTAACTCTACCAGTTGAATTCAATAGAATCTCTCATTCTCCCTAACCAAAAGAGCAATTACAAAGTTCACTGGAAAAAAGGAGCAATTACTAATGCATTTACAGATAAAACTACTAATAATGTCCACACATTATTAGTGGAATTTAATCCCACATTTTTTTGTGGGATATAAAGTGTATTATCACTAATTGAACTTTGTTAGGCCAACCCCGCTGGCAAATGTTTGGCTACCGTTTAAAAAAGTGATCAAAAGTACAGCATATATAAATTTCAACATGTCTCGCCTCCGTCTCTAATTTTTTTCTCCCCTGGAAATATTATCAGGCCTCCTAAAAAGCAATTATAAGCCATAAGGTGAAATATTAAATGTAGCAGAAGATACTAGGCCTCTCATAAAGTGGTGATCAGAATTCAAATTCCAATTGAAGAAAGTGCCATACTAGAAAAACATATTTTTTATATTGCCTAATCTATGCCAGTTGTTGCGCCAACGGTGTAATGAATGAAGCGGTGACATTTTTATAAATAACGATCAATATTTACATCGGTATTATTACACCCGATGTTATTATTACTTTTTACATCAAACATTAACCCAATGGTGTAAGGTTACTTAAATGCATCGGTAATTGTAAACAACCGGTATACTAGTCTTTACATCTGCCTATCTCTAGCCTTTTTGTTTTCCTGAAGTAATCTGAACTCGACTGGTTACCACGTCCTATCACCATTGTCTATATAAAATTAGAAGCCAACTGTCCTTCTCTTTCTCTATTGTCTTTTTTATACTACTGTCGGTAGCCCCACAATGGTGAAATGGTAAGAAATCGTCCCAACACGTCCTCCATCTTTTCCTCTTCCCTATCTGGCTATCTCCACCATCCTCCCACGCCTCTGCCTCCTTTCAACCAACTACTTGCAAGAGTAACAGTGATTGAATGTGGCTTTCGCCGTGTGGTGTCTCACTTCTACACCCTCAACAATGGGGTCAACTTCTTGCTTGATGACAGACACATCTAGTATAAAGACATGGATAGCCCCTCTGCGGCCTCCTCCTCTAACTATAGTCTTTTTTTATTGTAAAAATTTAGCCTTTTTTAATATTTTGTAAAGATAGCCTTTGTGCCGCCCACCAATTATATATAAATATATATGATATATTGTGATGATCTACTCTTGTGTTTTTTTTTTTAACACATTTTTCTCTTCTCGATTTTTAACAATGAATCCTAAAACTCGTAAAAATGTAGTCTTTTTTTTTTTCCATTAGTTTAAAGAAAGAGAAGAACAACTGGTTATTTTCTAAGAACTTTATCCCGAATGTTGTCATGTTTGATGTAACATTTAAAATTTAACCGGTTATCTTGTGCTCAATGTAAAATGTGTTTTCCAATACCAGTTTCTATGTCAAACCGGTGCTAACTTTTTGTCCAAGCTATAAATAAGACCCTCCCGCTTTCATTTTTGTGGGCCTCAGAATAGGAACAAGTGTGCTCTTAGAAAGAAATATGAAGACGGCTAGAGTGCTCAAGTTGTCTTTCGTCACTCACCATCCCCCGTACCTCTGCCGCTCTATTCTCATCATAGGTAACATAGTAGTTGTTTTATTTCTCCCCTAAGCTATTTTCTAAACTGTAGGTCTCTTTTTGTTCGAGAGCAAGGTTGCAAGCTGTTTGAGGCTTGAGGTATTGTTGGCGTATTTGGTCCATTAAATAGAATGAGAAACTCTACCAAGTATTGGATACTCAAGTATGATCAAATTCGAGTTGTAGTACTTTGAATGACAAGTACTTGTTAGAGATCTAGCTTATCCTTGCAAAAGGGACTAGCCTTCGTTTCTTTCTCCCTGTCGACTATTGGTGGCTCATCTTCTTTTATTTTGTTTCTTGGTGAGCTATTTTCCTAAATCCTAATACTAGTTAGTTAGTTGTTTAGTTGTTTTACTGTGTTTTCGAGGTTTCGTAGTTTCTTTTCTTTGTTGCGAAAGAAATATTAAGTCATAAAAAAACTAGCTAATATAAGAAAATTAAATAATAAAAAAGGTCCACTTCTTAGACCAGTCTAAGAAGGACTTTTTTTTTAATTTAAATTTTTAATGGTTACACGGTTGGCCACAATAGTCACTGTTAAAATCATAGTTTTTTGTACCAGTGTAAAAGGAGCAGACTTTTAACACTATCCGTTTTTATATCGGTTGTCTTCTTTTCGATGTCAAATGCCCATTTTAATTGGTGTAAAAGACCATTTTTCTAGTACTCCCTCCGTTCCTTATTATAAGAGACAAAAACCGAAGTACGTTGATCAAAAAATAGTTAAAATTATTAAGAACAATTAATGTGTAAACAAATATAATTTTTTTCCAAAAATGTCCTCATTAATAAGGAGAGAGAGCATGAGAGGAGAACAATTAAATTTTAAAAGAAAGAGAAGTGGGAGGGAGAGAGAGTG